CTAGAGCTCGGCTGTCAAGTTTCCGATCAACTTGAAAATTTTGGAGGGTGTAAAACAGACCTAGATTGAGAACTTTGCATTCTCTAATTGCCGATTTCTGAAAGACACCCTTCTTGGCCCGTTTTTGTACGGAAAATGTGAAAAAAAACAGGTGTCTTTGAGATATCGGAAAAGTCGGAATTTTCAAAAAATTCTGCGAATGCAAAGTTTTCAACCTAGGTCTGTTTTACATCCTCAAAAATTTTCAAAATGATCGGAAACTTGACAGCCGAGCTACCAGACTTTGAAAATGGCCGAAAATCGACTGAAAAGTGTATTTTGTACATCGCATTGATAGGTACTCTATACAATGCGAAAACCTTCAATTGAAGATGGTTGTCCTTTGGGGGAAATTTGGGTTATTTCAGAAATCAACTAGAGGAATTACCCTGAACTTTAAAGAAAGAAGACCTAGACCGCGGCCAGCCGCTTCCTCTTTCACCTTAGATCCTATTAAAATGTTTATCAGGATATCAGCAACATTTTACTAGTTAGCCACTTTTTTATATCTTTCACAGAAAATGAGATATATAGGCTCAAAGTGGACGATCCGGGTGTCGTTCTATTAGAGGTTTTACGGTATACCCCTATTGGACTCTGCTAAAACCTAAAAATCAAAAAAAAAAGCACGCGCAAGATGTCTTATCCGGGGAGGTAAAAAGTGGCGGGAATCACGTTCTTGCCCCACTGTTTTCGTGGGCATCGTGGGAGAGGAAAAGAGACTGCTGGCATACACACATACAAACAACCCTCGAAAGAGCAGCACAACACTTCTCTCTTCGTTGGTTGGGGCTCAATTGTTATCATCAACAATACATGGATGGAGAAGAAGCAGAAAATATGTACTTTTGTGTGTGTGAATGAAGACCGTTGTGTCACCCGACTAAATAAAAGTTCAACGAGGATCGGAAAACTGACCATAACTGCAAAACGTGCGATTTTGGAGACTATTTTATGAGCTAGAGAGGGTTAGCTTCTAGGACTAAAATATGGGAAAAATGGATTTTCAATTTTCCGTATTTTCTTTATTTTTGGTTCAAAAATACCCATTGTCTATTTGTGGCCTAGAAGTTTTAGATTTGGCGGGAATTTCAAATGTATTCAGATAGGCCAATTTTAAAGATTTCTGAAGCAAAATTCAACCCAAAACCCCCATACTTCAAAAAATGCGTAATGTTTCTGATTGTTCGAAATTTGATGGGAAAAAAGTCAAACTTTTTTTTCGTCTAAAATAGCTTTTTCTAGGATCAGAAAACTAGGAAAAAACTTGAAATTTCATAATTTTTGGAGTGAAAAATTTGGAATTTCAGTGAATTTATATTTCTCGGATTTTTGAAAGTTTCTTAAACCGAAATCCTGGTTTTCCGGGGGGGATTTCCTAATTTTGTCTAATTTTTTGAAAATTCTAATGGAGTTATTCATGTAGCGAAAATATGTATTGAAATGCATTTCCGCGCCCTCGAAATTCAATGCATGAGCGTCGCGAAACGTATTTCAAAGCATTTCGCGACATAACTGTAAATGCATTTCAATACATCGCGTGGCGAGATATTTTTTCTGGAAAAAGGGATGCGCCTTTGAACTTTGTGCCGGATGGGGAAAATCTTTAAAGGCGCGGGGATCCTCTAGAGTCGACCTGCAGGCATGC